AACACCAAGTCCCCATCTCCACGACATAGACGGCAGAGACGCAGGTGCATCTCCACCGGTGCTCGATAACGCGTCTGCCAGCCCATGATCTCCACGGCAAAACGAGAGTCTCCACACACGATGCGCGTCAGCGCGAGACGATGTCGGACGTTCGAGATACGCAGGTATTGTCGAAACATCGAGAGGACACGCCGAGCTGGACCCTGTCGCATCGGTTCCAAACGGTTCTTCATAAGCACCAGTCGCGGTGACTCCGTAATAGTAGTACGTAGCCAAATCCTCAGCGAGCAGTCGACTTTCCCGATGAGGCGTAAATGATCGTAGTTCCGCTCGCAATAGGAGCATCACGACAGGGGTCCGCGCCCTTACAAACAGCAGACTACCACGCAATCCACGACGTGGAATTGTACGCTGGGCATGGAGATCGGGAGCTCGCATCAGCGCAAGGGACAATATGCGAAGACTGGCCCCAGGGGCGTGTTCAGCATGCGGACCCGGGTCAACGCAGCGAACACGGCGGGCGCAGTCCGGGCGAATCCAACCCGCCAACCACCGGGCACCTCCCAAAGGGTGGTCCACAGGTAGTGAAGATGGGGACGAAGAAAGTGGAGAACTTGCGAGGCGGGTATGTTGTAGTAACCNAGTGAAGATGGGGACGAAGAAAGTGGAGAACTTGCGAGGCGGGTATGTTGTAGTAACCCGCTGTAGCCGAGGGCGGTATGGTGCGCTGGCATATGCCCCTAAGTCGCGCCATCTGGTCCCCAGGTCTGCAATCCATCCCCGAGAAGAGCTCGAGTGGAATCCACATTTCGGGCGTAGCTCCATAGCCCTTCCCCAAGCATCGTCTCCCAGCAGCGACCATCTCCAAGCGACGGGGGGCCCTCGGGGAGTTAGGGGTACAGGACGATGGTGGTTGTCTTCAAACCAGTAACGGGCAACTTTGCAATGTGTTGTACAATGTCGGTATATCAAAAGCGACGTGCATTGCATGCAGGGAAAGCGTCGTCAGGCGTGGGGCGACGAATGGCATGAAGAAGTGTCGGAAGTGTATTGTCAGCAGGGCGTCTGCTTTGAGAGGTGATCTGATGTTGGGGACAGCGTAGCTCTCAATTCGAAGATGCTGTAGGGCGTCGAAACTGCCTATCGCGAGTGCGTTTTGAATGGATAGGGAATCGGTGAAGGAGCCATTGCGCAACTCGAGCCTTTCGACGCGTTGAGACACGCTGTGTAATACGTCCAGATCAGTGAATGGGGGGTACTGATCTCCGTGCAGCCTGCGGTCCCACCCTGTCGACAGATAGTAGTCGAGGGGAACGTGATCCCCTGCCCTCTTCACGAAAATAGGAAGTGCACGGGGCAGTCGGCCGAGAGATCTTCCCCAAAGAGATGGCATTCCAATGCAGAGCTCGCGCCAGCCTCTGCATATCTGCAAGAGGCGTACCCAGCCAAGGCTACCCGCAGTGTTTGCAGCCGCGCACTGGGGGAGTTCAGCCTCTGCGACCAAATTGAAAACCGTTCCTAGGATCTCCTGAGGTAGACGGCCGATAGGCGCGAGCGTATTAAGCTGAGCATTCGTTTCTCGGAGAATCTCCCTGAGAGTTGTGGCATCTTGATGGAGTCGTTGTGAGACCTGGGAGCGCTCCCGAGCCGTCGACGACCAGTTGGCAACGATCTCGGCGCAATGCATCGCCTTGAAGCGCTCTCGAAGATGCTGAACGCACTCGAGTTCTGAAGACATCTGCTCAGGCGTGATGAGATTGCGTATGTGACGATAAAGATCATTCGTACCGTGATAGGCAGGTGAGAGCAGGAGGAGAGAACAGGGGCGTCATCTGCCGTCTGTGATCGGTCGCTCGAGCGTGGGAAGAGCTACCCACTGGTGCAATGCTCAGTGTTTGCAGCCAACCCTGGTTTCACCCGGGCCTCCCACTGCGAGATTGCGGGTGGCTCAAACGTTCCGAGCCAACCCTGGTTGGTATCTCGACATGAGTAGTGTTCCTATCGGAAATTCCACTCGAACGCCTGCCCACCGATGACTTGACCCCGCCCCAACTCCGAATTCAAAGTTGACGCCTAAAACAGCACGATTGCAATAGGTATTCTGAGCAGTAGCAAGTAATTGATAATATTACAATACATATATAGCGACTTGTATAGTACATTTCCGTCCAGCCTGTCCAGTATCCTACCCACCCTTCGCCAACACCTTCTTCCATGCAGCATTCTCCTTCTCCAGCCTCTCCAAATCCCTCTGCGCGTCCTTCATCTTCGCAATCACATACTTCGCCCTAATCTGCGCTGCGCTCTCCCCACCGAACCAGCCCTGCTTGTCCAGGCCAATCTTACCCAGCAGCTCGAGCTCGTCCTCGCTCTTGCGCACAGTAGACTCGGCCTTGTCCACCAACGGTCCGTTATACTCAATCTCCATCGCCGCGCGCCATACTTCGTCCGCAACGAGCCGTTCGAAGACGTATCGCAACACTGGCCGTCCAGGACGAATAGCAGCGGGCCGCCCGTCAACAGTAGAGATCGACACAATCTCAGCGCGCTCCATAGCCCTCAACGCCCCCTCCCCTCCATCCCCACCAAACGGATGCGCAGCAAGCGTAGCAGCATACGGTAGCTCCCCACTCTGCCCCAGCACCAGCCCCCTCAATACGGCCCACGCCTGCGCCCGCGTCCACGGCAGCGCCCGCGCGTCCTCCGCGTCGTCGCCGAAAGCGGCCTTCCGGAGCTCGCCGGCCCCGCGCGCGACGATCTCTTCGACGGCCGCTTCGACCGTCGCGCCCGCGCGGACTTTGCGGAGGACGCCGGCGAGGTCGGAGGCGCGGCCGCCGAGCTTGTCGATGGCTTTGAGCGAGGAGTCGTCGAGGTCTTCTTTGATGCCTACGGCTCGAAGTCGGGCGCGCATCAGGCCGCGGGCGCTTTCGGCGTCTGCGTCGGTGAGGGCGACGTTCACCAGTGGGCGCGCGGGGAGCGCTTTGGCTAATGAGCGAGAGTCTTCGCGGTTGTCGGCAAGCACGACGACGTGTGCCAATCCGCCCTCAGCCAGTGTTGCCGCCCAACGCGCTACGACGTCCATCACCGCGTCCCGCCCCGTCGAGCCGGTACTAGAGCTGAAATTGCGAAGCACAATAAGCGGCAGGGCGCGCACAGCGCTCTGCTCCGCCTCAGGCCTATCCTTCCTTGTCGCCCCATTCCGATCCACATCGTCCACGCCCGGTATCATATGCGTCTCCTTCAGCGCCAGCGCGCCCGGCGGCGGCTCTAACGCATCCTTCTCATTGTCCAGCCGCTCGTCGCCGATGCCCAGATCGCCGACGCCGGGCGCGGCGATGACGTCCTGGCGCGGGTCGTGCCATATCCCGCGGACGACGTCCCACCACGAGCGCTCGGCCTGGTCGCGCTTTTTGGACGCTTTGCGCATTTTTTTGATCGTGTCGGATGAGGCGGCGGCTTCGCGGGCTTTGAGGTCTTGGATGGCGGCGGAGGCGATGTCGAGGATTTGGCTGACCTAGACGCGACCGTTAGAGCCATTACGGTGAAGAGGGACATGGCTTTTGGAGGGAGAGGTGGGTCTGCACCGGCTGTTCGGCTGGTGAACCGGCAGGATGAACACGCCCCGCCAACGCGCGGGCGCGTGCGCCAGACTACCGGACCCGCTCACCGCCCACCGAACGCGTGGACTGTCCGGCACGTTCCGCATCGCATCACGTCGCACGAACAAAGCAAGGCCGGCTTATCCCGCCTCTCCGCCTCCACAACAAAGCAAGGACAACTGTACTGAGGGACGGGCTCTTACCTGTTCGGGAATACTTGTGCTAAGTCCTGCAGGTTGTCCGATAAGACCCTTAGTCGCCATATCGATGAGGTTGTTCATGTTGTTGAGGTAGGGGAAGACGGGCCAGTAGCCCAAAGCGCGAGCTAGGGCGCTGATGAGTTGGGCGTCGGAGCGGGCTTTGGTTATTTCGGCGCAGTCGATGTTGAGCGTAGGGCTGCAATGTTCAAGGTGTTAGCGCAAAGATGGAGAGGGAGAGGGAGACATTTGGTACCGGTGCTGCTCCTTGACCAATCGATCAACCATCCGTCCCTTCCCGCTCCCCTGCGGCCCATGCACAAACAAGATCGTACTCGGCACATCGCTAACGTACGCCGCGAGCGCGTCCTTAGCCTCTGCCCTCTGCTGCCATGCCGCCTCGACGTCCTCTTCCTCATCCGCGTCCCCACTGTGACCGATGGGCACGTTCTTGCGTATCCACTGGTACGCGGATAGCGAGCGGTAGTCGAGCCAGTCGCGCATTTTGGCTTCGACGAGGAAGGTGCGGACCGGGTCGAATACCGCCAGTGTGATTGTGCCAAAGAGGAAGAGTAGGACAGGTATGCTCAAGCGCGGATGGTTCGTGATCCAGTCCCTTAACGCATGCGCATTCACAGGCGGCTCGTAGAATGCTCTCAACCTCGTCCCGTCGACGGTGTTCCCGTACAGTACGTTCCGTGCGATGATTGACGAACGGAAGGTTTTAAATGTAATGCGTGATGCGCGGTAGGGCGTGTTTGGTACTGCGGAGGGTGGGGAGAGGTCGCGGATGCGGCCGAAGGGGCGGAAGGAGGCGTAGAGGGATTCTTCGGAGAGGTCGGGGCCGTCGAAGGCTACACGGAGGATTTGGGTCGGGAAGCGGTTCATGTCCTGTATTAAACATGTTAGCGTATGATAGAGAGGTCTGAAGCGAATAGAGTACCTCGCGCCATGGTTTGCCGCGTACGAGCCAGATGCTTCCACGGTTGAGGAATGTAGTCGAGGGTACACCGCCGTGCGACTGAGCATGTTTCTTGAGTGTACGTTCGATGGCAGGTAGCACATCCTCAAGCTCAGAGGCGTTATATTTGAATCTGACGAAGACACCTCCGTCCTTATGATGAGGCTCAAGTGACAAGGGTTGGAAGCCGTGCGGTTGTGTTGACGTCAGAAGGGCATTCAGGCGTTCGAGAACGCGGTCGCGTTGACAGTCGCCCCATAGATAGCGTAGACTAGTGAATGTCAGTTTCAAAGCAGTGTATACGATGTACTACACGTACTCCCATGAGCCCAGGCGGGTGGGAAAGACGGAGTCGACGAAGAGCCATGCTTCTCTGGTCTGATGGCGCGTAAGTCTCGTGAGCGCGATGGCCGAAGCCGAACCGGCACGCTCACATTGGCGTCCTCGGCGCTGGCAGCAGGCTCGACGTCCACCGCGTCCTGCACGACGCTCAACGCCCTCCTTTGCGACCCGGCCAACCGAACGAGCCCTTTGCGCGTTGACGTACGCAGCATCATCCCTGGTGCTGGTGGTTCAGAGCCAAAGTCAAAGCGGAGGCAAGGAGTGACGTATTTTCGGGCGGAGATAATTTCGAGATAAATTCGGACAAGGTTTTGGATTGGATCAGTGATGGAACTCGAGGATTCTCATCGCTTGTTTTGTTCCCGTCCACGACCACCCACCCTCCCCGTCACGAATATCAGGAAATGGTCTCGTCGCCGCGGAGCGCGCCCCGGAAGCGGCAGCCGCTGCAGCGGAGCCGGCAGCCGTCAGCGCCGCCGCCGTCGATATGGCGCCGGATGCTGTCGTGGGTAGCGCGCTCCGAGGACGATGGGCGGCCACCGCAGGAGGAGCGCGAGTACGAGGAGCAGCCAGAGCCGGGCGAGGTCAAGCGCAAGGTCAAGCCAGACGTCACGATGGAGGACCTGGCGAATGGGGCGCCCCCATCAAAGCGGGCAAGGAGGCTGTCGCCCGTGCCAGAGAAGGCGGCGGTCAACGGGTGGAACGACGTGCCGGCCAGCATGCTTCGCGCGCCCCCCAGAGCGACGCAGAGCATGGGCGGACTCGAGCGCACCATGAGCGTGGACCCCAAGCTGGTCCCGCTCCCGGTCTCCAGAGACGCGTCCATGGACCTCAGCCCTCGTCCCCTCCGCATCCGCTCGACACTCACGCCCACCCGCTCTGCACTCGAGTTTGGGCCCCGCCCCCACCGAGACCGGTCCGAGCCGCCGAACATCGCCTCGCTCAGGCAGAATCCGGTGTTCGTGCGGCCCCCGCCACAGCAGAATAATAACGACACCCGCCGCGTCAGCGACTCGGGCACGCCAAACACCACTCTCGGCGCTCTTGCTTCCCAGCGTGCTGTACGTATTTTTATTGTTTACCCTCTGCCCATATACTAATATAACTCGATTTAGGCATCCATCCCGCGCGCACACTCGTCGCTCAACTTGGGCAATGCGCCTGCACCGCCTCTCACCAAGGCCCAGCTGGCACTCCAGACGCTCGATCTGTACAAGACGCCGATCGTCCCCGCTCGTCTTCGCAATGCCAACGGCAGTGCCGCCTCACCCGTCCCGCTCATCGAACCGATGTTCCAGAGCAGATCCAAGACCCGCGGACTCGTCCTCACACCCGACGACCGTCCACGTAAACCCCGGCTCGGCACAGCCCACCGCGTTCTCGCAGATCAGATCTCTCCGCAAATCAGTCAGGATGACAGGAAGGAGAAGGGCAAACGCGATGCGAAAGCGAAACCCTATGCTGGCTCGGGATCCGTCCGTAAATTATTATCGAAGCGCAAGGCGGAGGAGAAGGAGATGAGGAAGGCCGAGGAGGAAGAGAAGAAGACGCAGGAGGAGGAACATTTCGCTGTGCCGCATAAACGCGAGAGCAGAATCCCTGCCCCGCCACGCGTCACTGCACCCGGCCTGGGTCGCAAAGTCTCAGCGCCCACAGGACCGCACACCCGGGCGTCGAGCGTTGGTCTCGCACGCCGACCCGCACCTACCGCAGGTCGCACAGTCGGCCCTACACGCCGTCGCCGTGGACATTTCAGCGCGGCAGAGGAAGATGACGACGACGCGTCGCTCGCCGCGAGTCCCACCGCAGGTCTTACTGAAATCCGCGAGGAAAAGGAGAAGGAGAAAGAAACTCCCACGCCTGGGTACGAGCCGCCAAAGGGATTCAGCTTTGCTGTAAGTACATCGAGCATGATCGGTAGTCCGTTCGATAAAGAGACTGATGTCGAAATGTAGCCGCCGCCCGAAGTGCAGTCGATCACCCCCGCACCCGCCGAATCGGCCAAAGATGCCCCTGTGAGCTCTTTGCCGTTTTCGCTTACTCCGGCGCCAAAGTTGGCAGAGCCGCCAGCTGGCTTTTCGCTCGACGCGCCAGCACCCAAGCCTGCTGAGGAGGCGCCGAAGCTCGGTGCTGGCTTTTCGTTCGGCGCGTCTGCTGCTGCCGCATCTGCTCCTGCGCCCGAGGCACCGAAGCCGGCTGCCGCCTTCTCGTTCGGTGCACCAGCTGCTCCAACTCCAGCACCTGCACCTGCGGCAGAAGCGGCGAAGCCATCCTTCAGCGGCTTCTCGTTCGGTCAGCCGCCGGCAGCTGCGCCCGCGGAGGCGAAGAAGGACGAAGCGCCCAAGCCGCCCGCACCCATCGCCTTCTCCTTCGACCAACCCGCCGCCGAAAAGAAAGAGGAGGCGCCCAAACCGGCAACTCCCGCGCCGGCGCCTGCGGCGTTCTCCTTTGGGCAACCCGCTGCCCCGGCTGAGAAGAAGGACGAGGCGCCCAAGTCTGTTACGCCCGCGCCTTTCTCGTTCGGTCAGCCGGCGGCGCAGGAGAAGAAGGATGAGGCGCCCAAGCCTTCGGCTGCTCCTGCGCCGTTTAGCTTTGGTGCTGCTCCAGCTACGCCCGACACAGCTACGGAGAAGAAGAGCGGGTTCAGCTTTGGCGCTCCTGCTGCGACTCCTGCTGCTACTGCCCCCACCACCGGCTTTTCCTTCGGTGCACCCGCTACTCCTGTAGCTGAGAACAAGCCGGCAGGCTTCACGTTCGGAGCCCCAGCCGCGACTCAGCCCGCCCGCCCCGTTACACCGCCCAACAGCAAAGACGATGGCATGCGCATGGAGGAGAGCCCCGTACGCGATCCCGTGCCCAAACTGAGCGTCCAGACGCCCGGCGGATCAGGGTTTTCGTTCGGTACACCCGCCGCGGGCGCGAGCTCGCCGTTCCCTCAGCCCGCCGCGAATGGAGGCGCGTTCAACTTCGGCACGCCTACGAAGGCCGCCGAGAGCGCGCCTGCGGGCAACGGGTTCAGCTTTGGCGCATCGAAGCCTGCGGAGACCGCCAGTGCGGGATTCAGCTTCGGTGCGCCGAAGCCCGCGGAGAACTCGGGTGGGTTCAGCTTCGGCGCGACGAAGGCGGCGGAGCCTGCGACGAATGGCGGTGCTACCGGATTCTCGTTCGGCGCGTCGAAGGCGCCTGCGTCTGCGCCTGCCGCGCCCGCGCCGTTCTCGTTCGGGGCTGCTAAGCCTACGGACGGCAGTACGAGCGCGGGTGGCTTTGGCAGCGGGAACGGTACTGGTGGTGCATTCTCGTTTGGCGCGGCGAAGCCCGCTGAGAACACCAGCACTGGCTTCTCGTTCGGCGCGAACAATGCCGCCACGAATACCGCGCCTGGTGGCTTCGGCTCGGGCTCGGGTGGGTTCGGCGCGGGCAACAATGCTAGCGCTGGAGGCTTTGGCTCGAACGGCGGCACGGCCTTTGGCTTTGGCGGGGGACCGAAGAGTGCGACTGATGCGCCCGCGAGCAATCCGTTCAATTTCGGCGCTGCGGCGGGCACGGATAGTCGGCCGTCTTCGTCTGGTGGGTTCGCGTTTGGCGCGCCCGCGCAGCAGGCCACGCCTAGCTCTTCGCCGTTCGCGTTCGGCTCGCAACCACTGCCGTCGGCAGGTGGGTTTGGCGCGCCGGGAACGGCGCCTTCCAGCCCTGCGGTTGGCTTCGGCGGCGGCTTCGGCAGCCAGCCGCAGACGCAGGGTGGAGGGTTCACGTTCGGCGCCAGTCAACCGAGCAGTCCGGCCGTCACGACGGGCGCGTTCTCGTTCGGCGGTGGCGGTGGCGGTGTGACGCCCAGCACGCCGACCGCGGGCGGAGGCGGCGCGATGTTCAGTATGGGCGCCGCGCCGACGGGTCCGAGGCAGGTCAGGCCTATGCCGAAGAGGAGGGCTGCGACGGGCAAGCGGTAGATGGGTTCGTGGAAGGTACACATGCCTTCGAAACTCCGAACTCGATTAGCTCCAAGAATCAAGTGTCTGCTTATGCGATCCACTGGTACATCAAAAAGACGAACAAGCGCCTCCGCCCGCCGGGAGGCTATATGCCATATGCTACTCCTCTCGGACTGCCTCGACTCGACATAAACCTATGACGATGGTCCCGATTTCGACCGTGACACGCGATTGCAAGGCGGACTCGTGAACGCCTATATAATGGCTCTAGGCCAAGATACTCCAATGAACTCTCGTTCTCGTTCTCGTTTTCAATTGATGCTCTCTCAGAAGTCCCGTTTCCTGTCTATACTTTACGTCTCCTCCCCCCGCTATGCCGCGTCCGACTTGATCCTCCCCCCTGCGCTACCGGTCGGTCGTACAACCAGACTCGCTTACTAGTCCTTCCCGTCTCTTCTTTTCCCAGTCAAATAGCTCGTTTCGTCACAAGTCTCATCATCTCTCAGGTTTCTGGGTCCCAGTACGGTAGAACCCCTCATCCACATCCATACGCGGCTCAAGGCTGCTGTTTCTCGGATATCTCTGCACACATTGACACCGTCTCATCTCGCTGTTCTTTTCTCCTCTCTTCTCTTCCCATCTGCTGATTTCCACCGCACTGTACCTCGTCGCTCCTAGGGCTCAAGGCTCTCATTGACATCGCACTGACTTCTCCTTTCTCTGATACTGTACGGGCTCAAGGCCCTGACTCCCTCCACGACGCGCCGGCTTGGATACGTCTATTCTCTCTTCCGTATATACTCTCGTCCACAACCGTCCCCTCTTCTCGTATGTCCATTCTGCTACAATCATCCCAAGTACCTCCCGTGTCTCTGTTCATACGCTCCAATTACCTACATCTCTCATAGCAATGTTCTGTCTCTCCTCTCCAGTGGTACTACTACGTACATACTTAGCATCATCATCCATCGGCAGGGTCCGCGACGGCTAACGGCCGGAGCGGGATCGCCTGCGCTGTTTTTGGCCTTTTTTTCTTACTTTTACTTGCTGCGTACGATACGTATGTGTATGCCGTTTATGTATGCGGGTTTCGTAGGAAGGTGTGGAGGGGGATCGGACGTTCATGGGTACGCGCGCGCCGGTATATGCGTGCACAGATCAAGAGGATTGAATGTGGCGAGTTCATCCTTCAGTAAGGCTCGACGCCTCTGACCGTGGCACAGCCTCAGAAACGGAGATTGGCACATGGTGTTGTGGCAAGGAAGAATCGCGTCGACAGTGGCTTTGTGGCTGTCCTTTGAGCCACGCTTCGACGGTGTGCTCTTGCCGCAACTTGTTCCCTACGTTCATGTCCGCGATTTCCCGAATGCACGTACTATATATGAGAACTTCTCGTACACGTAGCATCTGATCTCATACCACGACGACACTTGGCCACCACTCGAGGTTATATTCGCTATTCTCCATCCTGATGTCCATGGAAGAATGCCTCGGAGCACCTCTCACTGCTCTTCAATACGAACGAGCCCTCGCTAACGGCCCCCTGAAGCACGACGACCGTGTTAAGGTCGTCAACAGACTCCGCCTTGAGGCCGACATGCTACGACACGCGCTGAACATGACGGTGGCCACGATCAATACGCTTTCACCGTTACCCGAACTTCCTCCCGAAATATTGGCTATCATCTTTTCCTTCGCGGCAGACATCGATCCTCACAGAAGAGTCGCGCTCGGATGGGTGCGCGTCACACACGTCTGCAAGTCGTGGCGGGAGCTGGCCCTCAGTATAACTTCGCTCTGGAATCGTGAGTTGGGAAATCAGTCGCATCGCTCCTTCCCCACCTTTTTGGAGCGAGCGGGCGAGAACACTCCCCTTCACTTCAACCGTGAAACCGCCGCGGCTTCTGGGCTCGCTCATGACGAACAACCCTACCAAGCGCTGCGTGATCACTCTGGACGTGTCGCCTCTCTCAAGTGGGTCATAGGTGCTGATTCATTCACCCTCGTACAAATCTTGGCCGATTGCCCATTCCATGCCCTCACACACCTCGATCTTAATTCGGACCTTCATCGAGAAGCCCGAAACATCACTGTCATCCTATTACTCGAAGACCTGCACCTACCAGCCCTACGCACGTTGCACCAGCATAACATCTTCCTGCCTATAAGGGCTCCTGGTCTTCTTACTATGACCATGACCGGTTCCCCCTTCCAGCCAATGAATGTGCGCCAGGCCCTGGAGAAATTTCCACTCGTCCAAAACGTTTCTATCAGGGTCACCCACATCAAACCTGATCAATCAGAGGGCGGACCGCCTCTGGAACTTGTGCATCTCAAGCACCTCGAGCTCGCCGTGCGCGTCGGTTCGGGATCCATCATGCACCGCTTTCTGTGCTCCTTGTCTGTGCCCGATACCGCCTGCGTGACGATCAGAAGGCTTCCGCTGGTGGATGCCAACGACCTTTCGCCCATCGAGGAGGCGTTTGGAATGGCGGCCGACGAGGACGGAGAGCTGGCGCTAGCGTTCACCGGCAAAACTATGATCTTGTATACGATCCGCCGTGTGGACGAACTTCAGCTTCCCAAGGTGGCCGTATCGTTTGACAAGGTAGCGAGCTCGACACTCGTGGAGGTATTACGAACTGGGCTTGTAGACCAGTACCTCAAGCGAGTGACCCATCTCAGCTTGTGGCCCTCGCCGACTTACACCTCGGAAGACTGGGCGACAATCTTCCACCATATACATGAGGTCAGGACGCTGACATTCACGCCTCATATACCCCATCAGCGAGCGTCACTGAGAGCCGTCTTCGAGGCCCTCGGCAAAGTACCCGGTTCGCAGTCCCAACCTGAACTGTCACCGTGTCCCTTGCCGAACCTCCTCAGCATCACTCTGGAACACGACGTCCGACCAAGCAAGGCGATTGTCTCGCTACAGGATGACGTACTATCCTGCCTTCAAAGCCGCGCAGAGGTTGGAGCTTTACAGCTGCAGGGGATATTCTTCGAGAGTTATGAAGAAGAGGCCGTTGTCGCGGACCGCTTGCGTAGTTTGGTTAAGAGGGTTGTGTGGAAGCACTCTCGGTGATATATGTTACGGACCGATATAGTACATTGGGTGTAGTAGAAATCCCAGATGTGATACAGAGTACGGATAATTTGTATGTGTACATTGTTAGAGAGACTGTTTCATCGCCTGCATAGTATCCCTACATCCGGACCTGTTCCTACATAGAGCTGAAAAAACGAAACTTCATCTCTATGTGCGCCAAGAACGTCACGGCCTCCGCACTGTCAAATCGTTCGTTGCCGCCTTGATCGGGAAAGGCGGCCTCGATGATGTCTGCGAGCGCCTCTACGTCCTCGATTGGCGGTGCAGGACGACCCTCCTCCTCCAATGCTTTGATGAACTCGTGAACCGAGAAGATCTCCAGGTCCAGCACTTTACTTTCATTATCATTCACACCCTCCTCCTCATCCGACACCCACTCCTCATCGTCATCATCATCCTCCAACTCCAGGACGGCGGCCGGCGTGTTACGGCGTTTGCGAGCGATGGCGCAGCGCTTCCCGGGTTCGATCAACAGCAACCAGCCGTCCCAAGATATCGAGGCTTGCGGGATCATGGTAATTCGCTGGGTATTGGCCTTTAACCCGGAAGGATCCGGCTCTTGGCTTTCAGTCGCACTGATAGCGTCGGTGACGGAGACCGTTTCGCCGTACCATGTCGTGAAGGCTGCGTGTAAGACTGCTGAGGAATTGAACAGTTCAAAGCCGGAGACAGCGACGGCAGTAAGCGTAGGGTCCAATGACCCGACACGGAAAGGTTCTGTGCGACCCGCCCCGCTAGGCAAGTCTAAGGCGGCAAGAGCCGCAGCCGCAGCCGCGACCGGCCTCAAAAGTGTATAGATGGAGCGTAAGAGGCGGTTTGGCGCGAAATATGGGAGAGAGGCGACGAAGGGTTGCCTATGCCTTGCCCCGACGACGCATGTGAACGCCGGGACGTATGGACATGCCGGTTTCCCATCACGGGCGCGCCGGAAGAACGCGTCGTGTCCGATGAACTCGAGTCCGTACAGAAACTGCGGGGAAGAGGCAAGAATGTCATAGATGTCCTCGTCTGAAACGAGAGAGCAGTCGAATATGATGAGCCGTCGTATGTGGGGAGCTGCGCTCAGGATGTTCAGAAGGTCGTGAGCATTGACGCGGTTATTCCCGGTTAGATCGAGCTTCACGAGAGCGCTGCCTGCTGCGTCGACGAGCCCAAGGACAGCGGAAGGAGACAGCTCGAAGCCGGACAGGTCGAGCGCGTCGGCTGGTTGATCTCGGCCAATAGTAGAGGTGAGCAACTCAACCCCTGCCCGAGGAAGCGGCGATATTTCGCACAGGGCACTGAGTATGATCTCGCGTTGATCACGTTGCGATGCCGCATCCTGAATAGGTCTGATATGCCCTGTGTTGACCGCGTGAAGAACAGCCTGGTGTAAGGTAATGTCTACCAGGCTTGACGTAGTCGGCGATGGGGGTGAAGGCAGGGCGTTGGCGGGGAGAGTCCCGCGTTGTGATTCGTCCGGAGGTATGAAGGTAGATTGGACATAGGTACCTTCGGCGGCCAACTTCTCTCGTACGCGAATGTACGCCTGAGGCCAAGCCTCGACAAGCAAGTCAAGGGACATGAGGGGAACACCCTCAAGAGCTGATATCGCCGAGGCGATTCCGCGTTCTATGGCAACCTCCTCCCTCAGATACTCATTGCCCAGTAGTTGGGCATCGCTGATGCTGGCGAGATCGACCCTCTGACGGTAATAGCGCCGAACATACTGTTGAGCGGTGAGAGGCGACCCGCCAATCATGTTGAAACAGTAAGATGGCATGTCCTTGATCGTAAGATCAATGACTGTAATTCCGTCACCAGCTACATGACACGAGAGGTCAACGGTCAACGCCAATCGCTTTCTACAAGTCGGTGTAGACAACGTACCAATTTGCGGTGTCTGCATCCGGGCGTCGAGAATATTATTCGAGAACGTCGTACCGGCGACGTATACTGGTACATCGTTGAGATTGACGTTCCAAGAGAGTTGCATCAGGTATGCGGTGAACGGGCACGGGACGTAGCCTTCGGCAGCAGCTTCGACAGGCATCTCGCCCCATCTGCCCTGCACCCTCGTGATCTCACGACGAATCATGAGAGCGTTATCGGGCTGAGATGCGAGCCTCAAGAAGCGCGAAAGACAGAGTAATGCTGTAAGTCCGTAGCACCACTGGTGGTGATATGCCGCAATACAACGACGCTGACCAGTCGTCTCGTCTTTGCGGCGTACGAGTGCGATGACATATATGTGGTGGTGCTGGCCCATAGTAAGCGCCCTGGTGGTCAATGGGCGCGGAAGAAGAGCCCAAGCTTCCTCCTCCCAGTCTTTTATGCCCACAGTCTGGGATATCGTCCATATGAAGACATCGCCCGACGCCTTCCCAACTTCGGAGACCCTCACGAGTCACGGCCGCTGGCGGTCTTGTCATCCGAATCGTGAGCGTGGCATGGGACTGACGCAGAAGGCGCATTATCTATCATAAAGGAAGACATGACTGCCCAAGTATCGACAAGGGAAAGTCCACAGGAGCTTGGTGAGGGCGTATTGTAAGCTGTGGGTTTGATTGGGTGTCCACCTGTGTCCACCGGGTCGGAATTAGCCGGGCCGGGCCGGACACCCGGCTTCTGCCGGCTTCCGACCAGTCCATTTACACGCGTCGCAATAACTGCTATAGGGCCGCACGCGGCAAGACCCGCTACGGTTTGCAAGCTCGAAGCAGTACATG